ATACATACCTACATGATAAATAGGAATACTTATTTTACATAATACACAGAGCTTTCCCAAGAACTTCTTTTCTTTAAATCAAAGTATTTTTCAACTACTATTTAAGATCTGATAAACTGCAAATGATCAGTAAAGTGAGACATGAAGAGTGATTTGTCCAAAGTTAAGGAAGAAATCTGTGGCACAGTAAAGAAGTCCTATTAGATTTCTTGCCTCTTCATCTTGTTGCTTAAAACCATTCTTCTAAGACATTGATGGCAATTAGTCTCCACGGAACCACGACACCATTTAATGAATCATACCACAGGAAAAGCCTATTTCTGAAAAAAATGCCTTTCCTGTTTCAGTAGCATATTTGTAATTCACAATGACAGGAGAAGACCGGAAAAGGGGACATTTCTCCTGAGTGGGTTGATTAATTAACATAGACTGCCTGAATCCAGTCCAAGAAATCTATGCCAAGGAGGAATCCTGTACAGCCTCTCCTAACTGAGCTTGGAGCAGTCCCCCAAACACATTATCTCAAGAGCACAGAAGGAAATCATGAAGCCAGGTATGAAATTAGCCTTTCTGAGCAATAACGACATCTTTGATGCAGATCATGGGCCAAAGGACAGAAATAGTTTCTATCAACTCAGGAAATGAGGATGAGAAGAACATACAATATAAACATTATCAAAACTAAGAATAGTTGTTTTGTCTGGAGGAGGTGTTTTACATGATTTCTACAGTTATATTGTTTCCTGTTTGATGAGAGATGATTTTGAAGTTTTGGCTTATATCCAAATCCCCAATTCGCTAGGGCTTAGAAAGGGTCAGAAATGAGGTTTATTTCACAGAGGTTCCTGCTAGTTAATAAATTCTACAAAGGTTGGCTTATTAGGGAGAACTCGAAGCATAGTGTTTTTCATTAAAAAAAAAATAATAAATCATATTACAAACACTCTTTTTACTATAAAAAACAACTGGCAGCTTTTAAAAGTCAACATGAGACAGTAGATAATGCAGAAGCTTGGAATATTATTATTTCAATTTTCTAAACCATATAAACCAGACGATAATGGGAAAGGTTTGGGCAAGATTGCATTGCATTGCATCCATTAGTGTTTTCTACATGATCAGTATGGGTTGGTATCCATTATGCTCCACATACAAACTCAGAATAAATTACTCAGTGGCTCCCAGAAACCCACATGCTTCTGCTCTTCAGAAAAAGTCCATTACTCTTTGGCAACGGAGTTCAAGACTAACCCAGATGCCAAAGCTTCTCCAAATTTTGTCCCTTCACTTAACTGAATTGTCCCTGTGCCATCCAGCATCGTCTGCAATCTGGCACTCTGTAAGATACCTCTCTCCTATAATTTTTTGCCCTCAAAAGTACTTTCCCATTTTCTTAAAACTATGTCACTTTTCCAGAAGTGCTAAACACAACAGAGATGAGTGAGGAGACAGTGAAGTTAGTCACAGAATAAGAAAAAAACCCAAGTTGGAAAGGACCTCAGAAGGTCTCCAGTCCAAGCTCTTGCTCAAATCAGGGTTAGGTCTCAGGTCAGATCACGTTCCTCATGACTTTATCTAGATGTGCCTTGAAAGCCTTTGAGAAAGGAGCCTGCACAACCTCTGTGGGCAAACTGCTCCACTGTCTGGTTGTCATCATGATGAAAAGGATTTACTTAATATTCAGTCTGACTCTTGTCTCTCATCCTCCCACCGTGCACTTCTGTGAAGAGCTTGACTCTTCACATCGATAATCTCCCCATCATTGCTAGGGGCCTGCTGCCAGCTCACCCCTACCCCCTGCATCCCCCACACTGCCTATTCCCCAGGCCCCTCAGCTTCTCCAGTTGATGTTCACCAGCTCCTGTTCATCTTCAGAGCTTTGCTCTGAAGCAGAGATCTAAGCTGACTTCTCATACAGAACCAGAAGAGATTCACCACTACATGTCTGCAGTCTGATGAGCCAGTCCTGTGAAGACTGAGTGCAATTCAGTGCCAGGCCTTTGGGATGCAAGCAAGGATCTCTCACAGTATTGCACCTTCTGTATATATGGTATGTCAAGTATATGTGTATGTAGATGACAAGTCAGCTCTAGATTAACTTCCCAACATAAATATATTGAATGGTATATGTGAAACATCCTAATTAAATCACTCAACTACCACAGGGCCACATTTTTCTTTAAAATGGTCTTGCAATGTTTTCTACGGTCACTCTCAGACACGATGAACTCCCTTTTTCACATCCATTCCTGAATCTAAGACCTCTTGCTAATAGTAACAGCAGTGCGTATGTGCAAGCCATTTTCCAATGAGTACTTGAAGCAAGAGGTATCAAAATACAATGTCAGTATTTCTCCTACCATCAACACACATTTTGAAAAGAAAAACAAACAAAGATGTTTCTTACAATGCAACTTTTCACACCTGCATTCCATCAGAATCTTACACTATGCATATTGGCACACATTATATCTCAGGCTGGGAATTATATAAAAAAAAAAAAAGATAAGAGAGAGATAATTGACTAGGTGTATGCCCTGGTTTGAGCCAGGATGAAGCCACTTTTCTTTTTACTGAACCAAATTCAATAGCTATATCAAAAGATACTCAAGCAAAGGAGGGGCATGAATCACCAAGTCCAAAGTTAAAAATGTAGCCTACAATAAAGTCAACGTTCAAATCCCTCAGAATTTCACAATGCAAAATGTGTAAGTGAGGATTCATATACAGATTTGGACCCACTCTCAAAGTGGGGACAAGCCTGGTAAAGGACTATTCCAATCCAATATGCTAGGCCAACCATCATGCTTGGAGCTGAAGTCTGCCAGCATCCAGTAACTCAGTAAGTATATGTCACTGCACTCCCAATTTTACGTGGCAGCACAAGCCTGATCACTGTCAGGAGTGTCAGTGTCAAAGTGTGATGTCCAGTTCAATTACTAAAAGACACATTAAGATCTGTCTTATATGGTTAAGAAGTAATTTGGGATCAGAGTCTCCCAGTCTCTTTAAAGAGAGACATTCTTAGTCTATTCAGTTTCAACGTTCACATTAATATCTCTGTTAAGTAAGAAACTGAGAGCTTAATAAACCTTCTCTCTATCAAATATAATATATTAAAATATAACCAGATTGAAAAAGAAAGTTGTTACTATTTTGAATAATCATTGAGAAACTGTTTATCTACCAGAGGTCTCCTCCACGCACTCTTCCCTGTACTCTTCAGATATATCATGGATCGGGATAAATGCCAGGGTACTTCCGTTAGCTACCATCAACAGTGGCCAAACTAACTTATGCACTTTAATTTTGGGACAGGATAATGCACTGTCTTTTTAGTGATATCAATAGGTTCATTCTGCTCACACTGAATGATTGTCCTTCAGCCTTCCCTCCCTGGTCTCTCCCCTCCTCACATGCCAGGAAAGGAAGGAATTCTCCTTTTCCTGCTCAAATATCCAATAATCATTTCAGCCATCTGCTTCAATACAAGAAACTCTTCATAGAAGCCCATCTGAATGGCAAACCATTAGAGATTAAGATGATTTATTGTAGTTTAGTGCAGTGTCACTGGTTTAATAAAATAAAAAATAACTAAGGATTTGGGAAGTACTATGGCTTACCTATGTAAAAACTCACTCTCTTGCCAATACATTCTATTGCTGCCGACAGACATTAGAACATTCCTTTCATCTCCTTCCTCTTCTTGCAGTTTAATCTATCCCCTGAAGGAGTATTTGCTTTCTCTAAGATAGATTATACATTGTATGCAACATGAAAACCTTACGCACTTTCTCTCTACCATCTGCAAGGCTTTTCTGCCCCCTTCTTTAAAAAGAATTAAATCAATACCCTTATTAGTCTTTTAATTTTGGCTAACTATATCAGAATTACTTTTCTGTTAGAAACTAAAACAAAAGGATTATTATTTCCAGATATATGCATCTAAACTAGAGAAGCATTTTTTAATACAATCAACCAAACATCCAAGCCTAGTGGGACCAAATGTGGAATGCAATCTGTGACAAAGAGAGAATATGAAGCATACACATACACACACACAAAGCACCCCCTCTATTTATGCAGCAAACATGATCTAATATGGGATTGATTTCTTTCAAATAATTCTTTCTGCATCCCAGTGTGATTCCAGGATGTGCAAATTAAGATAAATTTTATGGGTCAAATTCTTCTTACCACTACGCGCACTCAAGTCAACTAAAATTGATGACAACTGGATGCTGTGTCAGAGGGTGGAATTTGGCACAGAAACTCACAATGTAAGGAGAAAATGTTTTAAAAATAAAAATGACATGATGCTTTGAATGAGGGAGGAAATAGTTCTCAATGTGGCTTGGGAGACAGAAAAGCATAGAGAAGTAGAAACAGTTGACCCAATAGCTAGTAGATTGTCGGATAAGGCTCTGTTGTCAAAACAGAGCCAAATGTGAGGATCTGAATGAGAATTTTCATAATGGCTCTAGACAAACCTAACCCCATTCCATAACTAACTCTAATGGAAGTAAAGCTACACCAGCTCCAAATTCTGACCCACTTAGAGCTTAAAAGAGTAGGGACTAGTTTATAACTTCTGTATTCTTTGGAAATCCAAAGTAGTTATTTCAGACTTCATCATTGCAGAGCTTCATGTCTAATTTCATTAAACAACATAGTGTGATGAAACCTTCAGTACAAACTTCTCTGCTCTTCCTCTTTTTCTTTTTTTTTTTTTTTTCAGAACAGAAGTGTCCCTAAAACAAGTCTGTGCAGCTTGCAAAATAGACCTAAAGCAAAAACCAGAAGCTATTCTGACACATTTTAACCCATTTTTCTGCTGCCAGTATGAATATGAACACAAATGTCTTTCTGGTTAAACTTTTGTTAATTTGAGTGAAATGTGAAGACGTGCCATGTCCTTAGTCGAGATCCAGAGCTACTCAGGATGTCTTGTAGTATTTAATTTCAAGCTCTATTTAGAAAAAAACAATCAAACATTTAACCTGGAACAGCTATCCTCCCAGCTGTTGGATGATTCATTTCCATCACAAGCCCATTGTGCAGCACCTAGGAAAAAAACCAAAACCAACAAAAATTTTAAAATATGTAATAAAAAATAGAAACAGTTCTTAAATTCAAGAGGAAAAAAGAGATAACTATTATAATGTTCTTTCATGGAAAATCTGAAAATATAAGGAGCTACAATAAAAGTAATTTGTTTAATTGGTGAAATGAAGACCCTAATGTTTGACACTACTTACTATTTTATGTATCTCAATAAATGCTTCAGTAATACTTTTCAAGTCTAGTGTATTTTCAAGTTCTTATATCCAACAGCAAACATCAGAAACCACATTGCAAGAATTCCATCCTGTCAACCCCCAACAGACAACATGGAATGAGAATTAAAACCTTCACCCACTTTCACTTTTAATCTGTAATATGTATTGAAGGCCTATACACAACAACAATTCTTAACATTTATTTTGTCATTGAAGGATCCTCTACAAATTATGATCCTCTACATCCTCCTCCTACAATTATCCTCAGTTCTCTACAATTATTACAACACATGGGTGCATGTCACCCTCAGGGCCAGTGGCACCTTATGGGTGTATTAAAATCCTTATTCTTGTCTTTTCCCCAACTGGACACAGAACAACAATCAGTAGCATCTTTATAACATTCTTTTACGTACTGGAAGATTGTAATCACATCCTCCCTCAGTCTGCCCTTTTGTAGACTAAACAAAACTAATTCCTTCAGCCATTCTTTCCAGGTCAAATTATGTGAACCTTTTATCTGTGTAGAATAGTACACTTAAGAAATTCTCATTCCTGAACAGGTGGAGTCAAAAGGTCAGGTCAGTTTTCTCTTAGCTTGTGGGGTGAGCCTCTTTAGCTGACATTTAGAAATCCAGATACTTCCGATAATAGATGCTGGTGGAAGAATGTCCGTTCACCGGTCTCCTTATTTGGCACTGTACCAAATCATTAGTTCTATTTCTCTTTCAGGAGGTGAACACCACTTTTGGTAGACATTCAAATGAGACATTCAGAATTTTTTTGCCAAATGACAGAATTGGAAAACATAGTTGCTTGTTTTAACTTATATATAGAATCTTTCCAGTTATGCCCTTAATTAAACAGTACTGAAACTTTGGCCTCCTTTGTCTATAACTTATGTACACAGGCTTTCTTTATGCGTTTAATTGATTATTTGTGACCTAAATGCAAGAAAACATTCTTATTTGAACTTGAAATCAACAGCACACTTGAGGTGCATTAACACTTCTTTAGATGGCAAATTAAAGGCCTAAGCAAGAGTGGCACCAATTGGTTAAAGAAAAACATAGGGATTCTCTAGCAGCTACTCAGGGCTCCACAAAAGTAATGCCTTCATGTGTTCCGGGTCTCTAAATTCTTATTCTGACAAGGCACACTTGTATTACCTTTAAAATATTTATTTTTGTTACACTCAAATTCCATCTCCCTTGTTTTGACAGAATGAAATAAGAAAATCCTGCAGTATCTTTAAGGATCACCAGTTTAACTTTTATTTACTTTTAAAATAATTACATGAGGCACAGTCAGGCTTCCTTTCAATTTTCATTATAAGTTTGGTATTGATTTTCCCTCTCAGACACATTATTTTCTCAAAAGCAATGCAACTGTCATTACTCTTATTAGTCTTAATTTCTACAGTTATTAAGACTGATTTTTTTTTCCCACATCAGCAACATTGTTTATAAGAAGTTTGTAATTTCCTGTTTCTTGTGTTCCACTATGAGGATTCCCCAAAAGAAATGGAAAAAACCACCTTCACTGTGCCCTCCTCATGCGTGTTCTAAAAACTATGAAGGAAATATCTAAGATTACTGCATCCTGGCTTTCAGGAGAATGCAATGTTCATGTCCATTGTCATGAAAGACAAGGAAAGCTTCAGGACAAAGTAATAAACACAACTTGAATAAACACCAAGTAATAAACACAACTCCTTTATGGTCTTGTACAGCTCAAATGGTCACAATCCTTCATGTGTGGTAGAGTTCTATATCCCCTTTGCATTCACCTTAGCTCAGTATAGTGAACTGATGAATCAAGAGGATCATGTAAAAGATGACAGCCACCAGTAGATCCATTTTTAAACTGTTGTGTTTTTTTCACATGACTTACTTTAAAGGCTAAAAGTACTCTATTAAAATACTGCCTGTTACCATCTGAGATTTGTGAATCAAACTGATGTTTGAGTGGCATTTTGCACTTATTATAGTGATATCATTGTAAGGGAATCAGAAGCAGTGTCTTTCAGCAATGACCTTTTAATGCTACTTCATTTTATTAGACACAGATACCTTGTAGATTAAAGTAGGAACTTCTCTTGTCTGTCTGCTGGTTAATGTAAAGAAAACTTGATTATTTTTTTTTCTATTCATACAGGTTTGTATCTTTCCACTTGTCACTTAATAAAATAGGAAAAGTCTCTCCTATTTGCAAGAAAATAAAAATTACACAACATGAAATAGTTTTTAAAATGTCTGTATTCTACTGAAGGCAATAGATGAGAGGTTGGTCTGATTCCTGTCATCTGTCATACTGATTTCTGAATCAACTTTTGCTATCTCTTTTTAAAAAATTGTATTTTCTTGCAGACTGAAATGGAAAAACTATATAGATATTACACATACAATGCAGAATATATGCAATTTTCTATCATTAGCTGCAAAATTCTACTTAGTAATTATTTATTGTATTTGCACACAGTGTCAGATTTGCCTTTGTTACAAACAGAAAATATTGTTTGGTGAAGGTAAAAAACTACAGAACTCACTATAAGTTTACTTATCTAATAATAGGTTATTATATTACTTTATTCAAACTACAGCAAATAGAACAACTCATAAGATTATGTCTTCCAACCTCAGAGAATATAAGTATTTCATTAAAAAATTACTCTCTTATGCTTTTCCCAATACTATATGTAAGCAAGTCCACAAAAAATAATTTAGAGCAAAGATCATAAAGTTTTACTTGTGTAATGCAAACCAGGGGTAATTTAATGTATTTCATCATATATATTCTCAGTTGTTTCATCATTTCCTCTTAGCCTGTCTTGAGAAAAACTATGGAGGATACTTACATCAGCTGCTCTGAAGTTCACAGTAATTCAGATACAATAACTTCAATGATTAATTTTGCCCTTTCCCCTAACATGTTAATGGCTGCAAGTTAAAAAGCAGTTAGCATTTTTATAAAAAGGCAGTTAAATTCCCTTAGCCATCTGCTTTCACAAGGAGGATCGAGTATTAACTGTAGTTATTTTTTTTATTCTCACCGTGTTCAGAACAAGTATTCAACTGACACTAATTTTTTGCATTAATATCTATATTACAGGCATGTTCAGTTCAATACTGTACGTTTTTATCAGTATTTGAGTCTGTTTTGAGTCTTATTTAAAAGCTAAGAAGAGAATTATGTAAACTGAACTTCAAAAGAAGCAGAATTATGATATAAAAATACAATGTGGCTGCAGAAACAATTATTAAATTTTGTCTTCATGTAAAAGACTTGCACGGTTAAAATTCTACATTCCAATAGATTCTTCGACTGCTTGGGACTCCAGATTTGTTCTTTACTAGATTATTTGGTACCTACAGTGCTATAAGGCACTTTTTCAACTTTTACAGATCCTTCAAGGAAAAAGGTGAAACTCCAGTTTTTCTAGGAGTGTACTGTTCCTTAAGATAGTAAGATGTACAGGCTGTTAACAGGTGTGGTGACTTTCTTGAGGACTTATGTGTGCAGACCTATGTATCTGTCTAAAAAACAGCTAGAAAAACTATCACTGTATATGACTTCAGGATTATTTAAAGAAATCTGTTTTTTCTTGGACACTCCACAACATGTAAGAATATCTGACGCTTGATAAGAAGTCTCTTAATCAACAAATACATTAAAAATATACATAAAAAAGGGTCCTTTTGTTAAAAAAAACCAACTATATAGCAAAGTAACAAAAGTGGTGAAACAGAAATTAATCATTACTGTCATTATTAAGATTATTAATCTTCCTTGAATTGCTCATAAATTAATGGCTCTCTTACATGCTAAAGCAGTAAAATACTTTTTGTATTATTGATGCAGCAGCACAAATGGCAGGTAGAAGAATAAAAAATACTGTTTCTGTCTTTTTTTTCACAGTGATAATGGGGTGTTTGGCCACCTAGTAAACATCTAGGAAATTCTGCAGTCCTAAGGTTCATTTAGTATCACATTAGTTCATTTCAACTTTAATGTAACTGATCACGCACATAACCGATCACCCATGGCAATGCAGTTTTGCTTTGAACTGCCAGCAGGGTTTCAAGGTTTCAAATCCATTCTAGCTACTACCTAAAATACAATCAGCTTCCAAATCCCAATCGAAGGAGATGTTGGAATGAAAACCATACCAAAAGCTGTCAGCTCCAACCCCCCTCCCACCTCCAAGTTTAAAAAAATCTATTTACTGTAGAGCCACACGTTCTAAATACGCCATAGTCCATATAGCACTCTCTCACAGTTTCATCTAGAGTACAGTGAAAAGGATTTGCAGGGCCACAAAGGAAATGATGTAACCATTTTGTCCATATTTTTGTAGCCACAAGATAGCTGGCTGTTGGTAAATGTAATTACTACTAGTGCCTCCAAACCACAAGAAAATAATAATACTGTTTTTCCTGTCCATGCTGAACATATAACTATGGCCATAATCACCCCCTAAAGAAGTAACAGCACATGCTGTGAACACAATGCCATACTGGAATCACACCCCACATCCTAGAAGCACCACTTTCCAAATAAAAAGATGTTAACTCACTCAAAATTTGAAAAGGATATTAAATGTATCCCTATCTGATGCCTAGTTCTGCTTCATCTTGCATTTCTAGAATGATGTTACATGGCAGAATGTTCTGTATATCAGCATGTTCCCCCTCCCCCTTGTTTTTCAGTGACAGCTGTCTTTCATCACTAAGAAATTTATTGTTCTTCTTTCCAAAAACAGCTTCTAACCTGCAGGGCTCCCCT